CATTTCTCTCCGCGTCGTCATGTTGCGACGACTCTGCCTCCTCCTCCCGCCGCCTCCTCCCCTTTCTTCTTCCTCATCCTCCTCCTCCCGCCCCCCCCCCCCCCCCCCTCCTCCTGCGCACTCCGTCCTCTCGCCTGCGCTTCCCCCCCCCCCCCTTGCCCCACCCTCGCCCTCCGTCTCGCCCCGCCGCCTCCGCCGGCAGGGGGGCATCAAACTCCCAGACAACATTGGATTGGTGCTGCAGCGGTTCAAGACGGCGCAGATGCCGCCGAAGCCGAAGCCCCCGGATGCCGCGGCCGCCGCCGCCGCATCATGAGTGGCGAGGGGCACGAGGAGGCGCGGAGGAGGCGAGGAGGCGCGGAGGCGCGGAGGAGGCGAGGAGGCGCTCAGGCGCGGAGGCGAAGAGGCGCGGAAGAGACGAGAAGGCGCTGAGGCGCGGAGGAGGCGCGGCCTCTCGCGAGGAGGCGCGGCAGCGCGGCCTCTCGCGAGCTCGCGAGACGCCGATGCGCGAGGCAGGCTGCGCCTCGCGCAAGGACAGATCGAGCGAGACCATGATGATGTGGCTCGTGGTCTTGAGCAGAAATGAGTTGCTCTTGCGGTGATTTGTCCATGTCCATGTGATTCCAATTTCGCATGCCCGTTCTTTGCCCCCATCTGCCCAACGCTCCTCTTCTCTTTCAACTCGCCCGTCCCAATGCTCCTAATGCCTCGTGCGGGCTTACTCGTTCGGTTCGCTCTCTCCCCCCCCCTCTCTCATCAGTATAGAAGGTAGAAGTATTCGTGTTATTACTTATTTGTTTCTCTCTCTCTCTCTCTCTCTCGCTCTCTCTCTCTCTCTCTCTCTCCCTCTCTCTCTATATATACATGTAGTTGTGTAGCTCCCCTTCTCTCTCTCTCTCTCTCTCTCTCTCTCTCTCTCTCTCTCTCTCTTTCTGTCTAGCGCTGCCTATGCCCTATGCCTGCCCACTGCCTATGTTGTCAAGTTGTTTTTTCTCCGCGTGGATTTCGATGCATCGCGCGCGATGCACTGTGGCGGTCAATTCCAGCGACCAGAATGCTGAGCTTAACATTGGGCGTTCACCATTGGGCTCTCGATTAACATAGGAGGTATATACATACATATATATATGTATGTATACACACACCAAATACATAAATCTAACAATGCAGGGCGCAGCGCGCGCGCAATGCACCTTGCGCGCCTGCTCATATATATACCACGTTGAGATGATCGCTTCTGGTGGTCAGGACATTGAATTCCACGGGGGGGGGCATTTGTTGTCCGATACTACATGTGAGGTCATTTATAACACCCATGCAAGACGCATCGTGCGCGCGCACGATGCATCTTGCATGCGTTTCCGTGTATGCCACGTTGGGATGATCGTTTCGTGCGGCCGATGGGTTTCCCCCCGCGGGTTCCTTGATTTAACGTGGGCAGAATTATATGTAACCCATGCAGGCTGCAGCGCGGGCGCGCGCGATGCAGTTTGCATGCATCCTAGCGTATTCCACGTTGGGATGTGCGCTTCTGGTTGCCAGAGTCTTGACTTTGACGTTGGGTTTTCATTATGTGTGTTCCGATTCCGTTTGCGGGAAATGTGCATCAACAGCCATGCAGGACGCATCGCGCGCGCGCGAGCGATGCAGTTTGCATGCATGTTTAGATATCCATAATTCAGATGGTCGGTTCTGGTGACCAAACAATTAGGATTCACACCAGGTTTTCTCCATCGGGTTTTCGATTTAACATCGGAGGTGCGTGCGTCAAGCCATGCGCCATGCAAGATGCATCACGCGCGCTCGCACGATGCATCCTGCATGCGTTTTCATGTTTTGGCGTTGAGATGTTCGCGTCTTGCAAGCAGAAATCTGAATGCCACCGCGTGTTTTCCTTACTGGACTCCCGCGGCTGAGAACTTAAACGTTTCGCAAAGTCCTAATGGGATCGTCTCGGCGTGCATCGCCAACATTTTAAAAAAAAACACGGGTGCTCCTCATCGTCGTCTGAATGGTGAAATGCGCAGTGGCAGCGCGTTGCTCATGGCATTTCGTTGGGAAACCCCTGCCCCGAGCTTCTTCGAATCCCACCCTCCCTGGAAACCGCTCCTGCGGAGTGTCCACGCGTGTCCTCAAGTCACCATACAGTGAGAACAAGCGCCAGTCCGTTCCAAAAACAGCTTCTCAGAAATCGCCATGTCGAAAACGTATTTATTGGATTTTCCGGCGCGCATCCCTCGTTACTACGTTCGGCGGGGACCAGTACATAACTCCTCCGTCATCTGCAGGGAAAAGATCGCCTGCAGCGTGGCGTTGGCGTAGCAGGAGTTCCCGACGTTTTCCAGGGGGCAAGGGGTGCGCCTCGGATGCAGGAGTTGCTCGGCTGTTGCTGCTGTCTCGCCAGGTTCGCCCGCGTCAGAGCCTGCTGGCGGCGCGCCAGGTTCGCCGAGGTGCGCGTCTGCGTCTGGGGTGCTGGCGCCAGGGCCGTCCTCGGGGCGGTCGGCGCCGCTGCCTTCTGGGCCTCCAGCGCTGGGGCTGCCCGCCGCGGCGCTCTCGCCGTCGCTGCCAGGTGGGCTTGCGCCAGGGTCGCCTTCAGAGTGCTCGCTGCCTAGGGGCGTGGCGCCAGCCTCCTCCGCGGAGCGCTCGTCGTCGCTGCCTGGTGGGGTGGCTCCGGGGTCGCCTGCGGAGGAGTTGGTTTCTGGGAAGCTTGCGCCTGGGTCGCCCCCCGAGCTCTCTGCGCTGCTGACGGAGGCGCCCTGGTCCTCTTCGGCGGACGAGGACATGGAGGCGCCCTGGTCCTCTCCAGCGGACGAGGACTCGCCGTCGTCGGAATCCCAATCGCCGAAATCGCTGTCGACGTCGGAGCTGGCGCTGTCGCCCCCTCGGCGCGGCTGCGGCGCGGCAGGGTCTGCGGGCACTGGGCAGAAGTCGGTGGTACGGGCTTTGCCCATGAGCCACGCGTGGATTTTCCGCCGCACGCGAGAGAGGCCCACGTATCCGTATCCAGGCTCGGGGGGGTGCGTGTGGTCGAACCAGAGGCCGATGAGCTCCAGCGTGGAACCTTGCGCTCTCCTGATGGTCATCGCGTAGCCGTAGGTGAAGGGCATGAAGAAGCTGCGGTCGTTGCTGCGCGGGTCTGTCAGGGGGTAGACCAGGATGCGCCTGCCCGAGGGCGTCTTCGCGATGAACACACCAGGGTAGTAGTTGCCCTCCTCGTCCTTGAACCTGTACTCGACCTCGGCCAGGGCGCCGTTCACGAATCCGGACTCCTTGTCGACGTTCCTCGTGAAGCGGATTCGCATGCCTTCGAGTGCCACGACGAAGTTGCGGGGGTCCTCGGGGTCGTCGCTCCTCACGCGGTACTCCGGGTCGGCGGGCACGCCGTGCATCTTCCAGCTCTCCCCGGTTTCCTCGCGGTCCCCGAACTCCGTCGCCGCGCGCTTGCGGTTCAGACGCAGCGCGCCGTCGTTGCGGACGGTGAGGAGCGTGAAGTGCTTGCCTGTCTCTTCCTCCAGGTCCATGGACTTGTTCACAGCCGTGTCGATGACGTTCTCGCCCCTGTAGCCTGTGTCCTGCGTCAGGCGCCTGTCGCCCCAGAACTCGACGAGCATCGGTTTCGTGGGTTGGCGCTCCCGCACGTAGTTCAGGAAGTCCAGGAGTTCTGGGTCGGTGCTGCGAGCCAGGGAGTGCGGTTTGAGGTCCACGTGGCGCATCCTACCGCTGGCGACTGCCTGGTCCAGGTCGACGTTCAGAGCGTTGCCGCCCGCGGGCTGGAGCTGCTGGAAATCGCCCACGAAGCAGACGAAGGGGCCAGTGGTCAGTTCGTTGAGAGCCAGGTCCATCTTCGTCCAGACCTTATCCTCTATCTGCGACACCTCGTCGTAGATGATGAGGTCGAAGGTGCGCAGGCGCCCAGGGGGGTTCCACTGTTCGTCCTTCTGTCGCCCGATGGGAATGCCGTGGGAGGAGTGCACCGTCTCGATGACGATGTTCTCGTTGGGCGGGAGGCGCTGGCGGTAGACGTCGATCAGGGCGCCGATGGGGCACGCGATCAGAACGCGCTCTCCCTTGGCGGCGGCTGCAGTGGCTGCGCCGCAGACGACCTCGGTCTTGCCCGCGCCAGGTTTGCCCGTGATGACGAGCCTGCGGTTCTGCGCGTTGGCGTTGGCGTCGTCCACGGCCACGCCGCTCTCGATGATGTCCAGGGCCTCTTTCTGCTCGGCAGACCAGACTCGCGGTGGCGGGGCGTCCACGGCCTTGACGTCCCAGATGTCGGCGGGGATGCACATGCCGCGTGTCCCAGTGTTGTCCAGGAGCATCTTCAGAGCGCGCAGGCGCCGAGCCAGGTTCTTGCGGTCGGCGTACTTCTTCCCTCGGATGTACAGGTCCCTGTCGGTTTCCTCAATCAACAGCTCCACGTCTCCGTACTCGCGCTTGCCTGGGTTGCCGCCGTAGCGCTCCTGCATCAGGGCGGTCGCCAGGTAGCGCGTGCCCTCGGGGACGTCTGGGCTCAGGTCTGGGGCCAGCTCTGCCTCGCTTGAGTGCGGGGTGTTCATGGCTATGAACGCGCCCAGGAAGTTGTCGAGCATCTCGTAGGGGTAGTGCACGCCGATGGCGCAGCGCTCTTTGTTCTTCCCGACGCCGTGGCCGCCCCTGTCCTTTACCTCGCCGTTGACCAGGTGGTAGCCCCGGAGCCACTCGAGGAAGGACCCTGTGAGCCTCTTCTTGTAGTCCTCGTACTGCTTCCGCGTAGTCTCGCTGTCGCAGGCGTTCTGTTCCTGTGGGGCAGTGCCAAGGGGGTCATCACTAAGGGGGTCGCCACCTCCCTGAAGGAACGCCGCTTCCAGGAGTCTTCCTCAAGGAATTGATTGGGCCCCTCAGAGCCCCAAAAAACGCAAAGAAACGTCCAAGAACCTCCTCGACCCTCGATCCTGGAACTTGGATTTCCAGGAGAAGTTGGCGACCCCCCTAGTGGTGCTTCCCCTTGGCACTGCCCGATCCTGGCGCCACTCGTCAAAGGGCGTGGGGTCTGGGCGCTTCAAGTAAGCCTCGTAGAGCTTCGTGCTGGAGTTCTTGGCGGCCCTGCGCTTGCTGCTCTCGCCGCGCCTGGGTTCTGGCTCGGTGGTGCGAGGGCCCTCGTCGTCCTCTCGGTGGCGCGGGAGCGGTGCGTAGACGAAGTCGTGGCGGTAGGAGTTGTCGATGGGGTTGCAGTCCGAGAACTCCAGGGCCATCTCAGGGAGCAGGGAGGCTCTCTTGCACAGCAGTCTGTAAGTCATGCGCCAGGGGCTGTCTCGCTCTGTGTAGTCGCCGTACTTGAACGTGAGTGCGTCCGAGGCCTTGCTCACGTAGCCCGCGACGTACTGCAAGACGGTGTTGTGGCCGTCGCCGCACTGGACGTCCACGGAACTCCTGGACAGCTCTTCGAACCACTTGAGGAGGTCCGACTTGGGGCCCTCCTGGTTGGACCTGCCCGACATCTCGTCCATGTTGGTTTTGGAGTACTTGACCCAGGCCAGGACGTGGACGTGGAGTGTGCCCCTGCTCTGGAACTCGAACCGCAAGCAGTAGTCGAAGACCTCGTCGATGCCGCACGCGTGCCTCTTCTCGAAGTAGGCGTCTCTGAAGTTGCCCTCCTCGTCCGTCGGGGCGCCCTTCCTCAGGATTACGTCTCTGATCAGGGTGCCCAGGATGTGGTGGAGGTGCAGCGTGAGCGCAGCCTGCCCTTCCGAGAGGTTGTCGGCTCGCTGCCCCCAGCCCAGGAGCCCCTCGTGGAGCAGCGCCTTCCACTCTGCAGGGGCCATGGTGAAGTACAGGTTCGGCAGGCCGCGGGAGTAGCTCTCTGGGAGGGGGTCTCTCGCATCGTTCAGGCGCAGATGAGCGTTCCCCGCCAGGTACTTCTCGTCCGTCACGTACTGCCTGCACATGTCCTGGAGTTTGTGGAGCTGCTTCTGCCAGTAGCCCCCGAAGTTGGGCATGTCTGACGCGGCCTCCTCGGGCGAGATCTCCTCTTTGGCTGCAGTGGCCACGCACGCAGACTACGACGGCGACTACTACGACGACGAGGGCGTCCGGGGGCCTCCGAGGGCCTCCGAGTGCCTCCGAGGGCCTCCGAGGGCTTCCGAGGGCCTCCGGGGGCTTCCGAGGGCCTCCGAGGGCCTCCGGGGGCCTCCGACAGCCTCCGAGGGGGGCAGCCGACCGCCTCCGAGGGCTTCCGAGGGCCCTCGAGGGGCAGCCTACGACGACGACGACGACCACGACGACGACGACCACGACGACGCCGACGACGACGAAAACGAGGATGACGAAAACGACGACGAAAACGACGACGACGACGACGAAAACGACGATGACGAAAACGAAGACGAAAACTATGACGACGACGACGACGCAGACGACGAAAACGACGACGACAACGATGACGACGACGACGACGACGACGAAAACGACGACGACGACGAACACGACGACGAAAACGACGACGACGACGACGAAACCGACGACGACAACGACGACGGCGACGACGAAAACGACGACGACGACGAAAACGACGACGAAAACGACGACGACGGCGACGGCGACGACGACGACAACGACGACGACGACTACGACGACTACGACGACGACGACGACTACGACGACCGCGACGACGACGGCGACGACGACGGCGACGACGACGACGGCGAGTGCCTCCGAGGGCCCCCGACGGCCCACGAGGGCCTCCACGAGCCTCCGGGGGGCAGCCTCCCACGGCATCGGGGGGCCTCCGAGGGCCCCCGATGGCCCCCGAGGGCCCCCGAGGGCTTCCGAGGGCCTCCGAGGGCCTCCGACGGCCTCCGAGGGCCTCCGGGGGCCTCCGACAGCCTCCGAGGGGGGCAGCCGACCGCCTCCGAGGGCTTCCGAGGGCCCCCGAGGGGCAGGCTACGACGACGACGACGACCACGACGACGACAACCGCGACGACGACGACGCCGACGACGACGAAAACGAGGATGACGAAAATGACGACGAAAACGACGACGACGACGACGACGACGACGAAAACGACGACGACGACGACGAAAAGGACGATGACGAAAACGAAGACGAAAACTATGACGACGACGACGACGACGAAGACGACGACGACGAAAACGAAGACGAAAACTATGACGACGACGACGACGACGAAAACGACGACGACGAAAACGACGACGACGACGAAACCGACGACGACGACGGCGACGACGAAAGCGACGCCGACGACGAAAGCGACGACGAAAACGACGACGACGACGACGACGACGACGAAATCGACCCGCCCGTTAGGGCCCGCCCGCCCGACTCGACCCGCCGTTAGGGTCCGCCCGACCCGACCTACCCGACCGTTAGGGTACGCGCGTGCCAGTTCGATGACGCATCGTAGTTTAATGTTCCTCCATCGAGTGGTGTTTGCCGATGTATGTAATGGGAATCCACGGTGGGGGTTTAGGGTTTAGGGTTTAGGGTTTAGGGCCTGCATTGGCGCATGCGCGCGCTGGCTGCGATCCCCCCCACATCAAGGTTGTTGGGGGGGATCGCTGCCCAAGCCGCGCGCGCTATGAACTTGCACTCCCGCCCCAGACCACCCACAGTAAAGCCCTTTAGGGTTTAGGGTTTCTCCCCCCAACCCCCCTATCAAGGGGGGCTTTCGTGTTGTGTGCGAATGCGAATATTCCGCGGGGAGCACGACGACGCGGTTTTGGCATTGCGTTCTTGGTACGCGCGCAAAGCGCTTTGCGCAGGCGCAAGAGCCAGCGTCGTCGCATGGCCAACAATCTTTGCCGTGGGTTTAGCTGCATTCGGCTGGCTCCCAGTTGGCGCATGGCTTTGCCGAAGGACGGATTCTTCTCCTGCGGGTGTTCATTGCAATCAGAAGGCACAGGAGAGGCCTCAAGGCCAGGCGTCGCCGCATGAGGTTTTGAATTACGGCGTTGGCCTGTCGCAGACGCAGCATTGCCCCTGGTTCCAGTAGGCCTCCTGCATTGGCTTTTGCCGTTGGCCTGGCTGCCCTTGCAGCCGCCGTCGTAGACGGCTGCCGCTGGCGCAGCACATCCACAGGGGTCCGAATATGCCTTCGGCGTTGGAAAGCAGCACTGCGAGGGCGCTGGCGCGGCAATCCCATGGGCCCCCGTGGGCCTCGAGCGAGTAGCCGCGCCGTCGGGCTCCTCGCTGACGCCGACGCGCACGGCAGTTGTATTCGCCCGCGGCTTTGGGTTTTGCTTTGAGGTCGCCCCCGCTGAAGCGATTGCAAGCATCGACGCAGACGCTGTCGACGCGAGCTTCGGAAGGCGGGAGAAGGAGCGCGAGGGGGTGGGTCTGGCACCCCCTCGCTACGATGCGCGCGCATGGCTGCGGCAGCACGTCCATGGCAGACCCCCTGGAATGCCTTGGGTGAGCTCTCTGGGAGCGCTGGGGGAGCGCCTCGACCTTTCCCAAGGATGGAAGCACGTGGGAGCGTCTGGGAGCGCGACAGGACATGCAGAGTGCTCCGCGAGCGCGAGCCGTGAATTGCCCGTTGGGCTTGACCGTCGGCGTCGCCCCCGCTGAAGCGATTGCATTGTGGACGCAGCCGCCTTCGGCGCGAATTTCGCATGGCTGGAGAGGAAGCGCGAGGGGGTGGGTCTGGCACCCCCTCGCTACGATGCGCGTGCATGGCTGCTGCAGCACCTCCATGGCAGACCTCTTGGAATGCCTTGGGAGAGCTCTCTGGGAGCGCAGAGAGAGCGCCTCGAGGTTTCCCCAGGATGGAAGCACGTGGGAGCGTCTGGGAGCGTGACAGGACACGCAGAGTGCACCGCGAGTGCGGGCCGTGGGTTGTCCATTGGGCAGGACCGTTGGCTTCGCCCCCGCTGAAGCGATTGCATTGTCGACACAGCCGCCTTCGGCGCGAGCTTCGGACGGCTGGAGAGGGAGCGCGAGGGGGTGGGTCTGGCACCCCCTCGCTACGACGCGCGCGCATTGCTGCGGCAGCATCTGCATTGCGGGGGAGCGCCGGGAAGCGCCGCCAGGGAGCGCTGCCGAGTGCTTGCGAATGCATGAAAACGCTTGGGGGCGCCATGGGACTGCTTGAACTGCTTAAACGCGCTTAGGAACGCCGGGGAGCGCTTGGGACCACTTGCGGGAGCTTGGGAGCGCATGGGAACGCCTGGGAGCGCTTGGGAGCGTGCTGGGAGCGTGCTGGGAGCGTGCCGGGAGCGCCCAGGAGCGCGCCGGAGCGCCTGGGAGTGCTTCGGAGCGCCCCGGAGCGCTCGGAAGCGCCAGGGAGCGCTTGGGAGCGAGCAGGGAGCGCCTGAGCAGGCTGGGAGCGCCTGGGAGCGTGCAGGTTGCGCTTGGGAGTACCTGGGAGAACTTGGGAGCGCCAGGGAGCGCCTGGGAGCGCCTGGGAGCGTGCCGGGAGCGCCTGAGAGCGCCTGGGAGCGCTTGGGAGCGCTTGGGAGCGTGCCGTGCCGAAAACGCCGGGGAATGCTTGGGAGCACTTGGGAACGCTCGGGAGCGCTGGGGAGCGCCTGGGAACGCTTGGAAGCGCCTGGGGGCGCCTGGAAGCGCTTGGGAGCGCTTGGGAGCGCCTGGGAGCGCGCCGGAGCGCCTGGGAGTACTTCGGAGCGCCCCGGAGCGCTCGGAGGCGCCAGGGAGCGCTTCGGAGCGCGCAGGGAGCGCCTGGGAGCGCTGGGAGCGCCTGGGAGCGCGCAGGGAGCGTTTGGGAGTACCTGCAAGCGCTTGGGAGCGCCAGGGAGCGCCGGGGAGCGCCTGGGAGCTTGCCGGGAGCGCCATGCGCTTGGGCGCATGGGGAGCGCTTTGGAGCGTGCCGAAAGCGCCGGGGAGCGCTTGGGAGCACTTGGGAACGCTTGGGAGCGCTGGGGAGCGCCTGGGAACGCTTGGGAGCGCCTGGGAGCGCTTGGGAGCGCTTCGGAGCGCTTGGGAGCGCTTGGGAGCGCTTGGGAGCGCTTGGGAGCGCCTGGGAGCGCCTGGGAGCGCTTGGGAGCGCCTGGGACGTGCGCCAGCCGAAAGAACGCCGCATACTGTATTTTCATATGGTTTGCGGCCCCACGGACGGCCGAAAGGGCGCCGCATGGTGTATTTTCATAGGTTTCGAGCCCCAGGGGATGGAACCAATCGTGGGGGACCCACTGGCTGCGCCTAGGGTTAAGGGTTCTATTCATCTCTCAGAACTCACGAGGCATCCCCGCGGGGGAGCGCATCCTCCTCAGCGCTACGCGCTTCGTCGGTGCGGCGTGCGCGCATGGGCGGACTCGCTGATCGCTCGGCCAGGCGCCACGGGCTTCTGACGATGCACCGCCCGTGGCTTGCAGTTTAGGGTTTAGGGTTTAGGGTTTAGGGCTTCTCGGGCGCGCAGCGGCCGACAGTCCAGGCAAGGCTGCCCCCCCTTCGGCAAGCTTGATTGGGGGGGCGTTTAGCCGACCCGATCAAGCTTGGCGAAGGGAGCAGGAGGTGCAACATCTTCCCACCCCCGGCCGCATGGCCGGCAACCTCCCAAACTACAGCCTTTTAGGATTTAGGGCCGCTGGCCCCAAAATTCCCAAACGCGTTCCAAGCGCTCCCAGGCGCCCCCTGGCGCTCCCAGGCGCTCCCGGCGCTCCCAGGTGCTCTCAAGCGCTCCCAGGCGCTCCCCGGCGCTCCCAGGCGCTCCCGGCGCTCCCGGCGCGCTCCGAAGCGCTCCCAAGCGCTCCCAGGCGCTCCCAAGCGCTCCCAGGCGCTCCCAGGCGTTCCCAAGCGCTCCCAGGCGCTCCCAGGCGCTCTCGGCGCGTTCCCAAGCGCCCCCAGGCGCTCCCAGGCGCTTCCAAGCGTTCCCAAGCGCTCCCAAGCGCTCCCAGGCGCTCCCGGCACGCTCCCAAGCGCGCCCAGGCGCTCCCAGGCGCTCCCAGGCGCTCCCAGGCGCTCCCAGACACTCCCAGGCGCTCCCAGGCGCTCCCAAGCGCTCCCAGACGCTCCCAGGCGCTCCCAGGCGCTCCCA